GTGGCAGTGGCAGTGGCAGTGGCACTAGCAGTAGCAGTAGCAGTAGCAGTAGCAGTAGCAGTAGCTGTAGCTGTAGCAGTAGCTGTAGCTGTAGCTGTAGCTGTAGCAGCAGCGGTTGCAGTAGAAGTATTGCAATTCTTCTTCTTCTTATTAGTAGTAGTGGTTGTGGTAGTAGTGGTAGTAGTAGTGGTAGTAGGAGGAGGAGTAGCACTAGTAGCAACACGAGTCGGTAACAGCAACAATGGCACATGCTACCAGTGGCACTAGCAGCAACAGTAGCAGTAGTGACAGCAATGGCAAACAATGCAGCAGTGCTGGCGATAACAGCCTTTATAAGAGTGCTGAGGGCAAGGAGGGTCATGTCAGTACTAGTGAGGGGAAGGGGCAGGAGTAGTACCAGTGGCTGGCAGTCCCCAGATTTTTCTCAGTCCGTCTCGTGTCCGTCGTCCCACGTGTGAACTTCCACCAACTTGATTATTCCTCACCGTTATCAGCGCTGTCATCTTCTTCTTCTCTTCGAACATGATCCCCATCAGCATTAACGGTCCACAAAAGCATCACCAGCTTGCCCAGCATGATCACCACCAGCATTAACTTGAGTAGAGCATCATCATGAGCATCACCGAGGCACTCCGCAGCAGCATCGTCGACACAACAATGCCTGTTAAAGCCGATAGACTGATAGTTGCAGGCAAAGAGGGATCACGGGCTTCAGCTGCCGACGAAGGTGGTCTCGGCGAAGAAGTGCTTCGTGTGGGAGCAGAATGGCTTTAGGGTTGAGGGTTTGGGGCGTCAGGTTCAGAAGCTTGCAGAATTGAGGTGGACGGGGTTGACGTGGCAGAAATCGCCTCCACAGACCCCACGCCCAAGCAATGCCCACAAGCCCAGAAGACCAAGAAAGAGCGATGCAGGTGTCTGACCGGGCCGCAACGCTGCTGAAGGCTTCGTGCTCCAGAGACAGAATGCATTGAGGTTTGGGGGCACGCGAGTGTGTTGTTGGGGTTCTTCTGCGACTTTTAGAGTAGCGCTAAGGGTTCAGAGTTTTCCCGCCACAGCGTAGCTGCAGCCCCGTCGAGTTCTCCCTGAAACCTGTTCTTGAACCACTCCGAATCGACACAGAAGATGAAAATGGAAGCACGTTTGCAGTAATTGTGATGGTCGTCGCCGTGATTGCAGCAGCGGACGTAGGCGCATTCGAAGTTGCGCCAGTAGTCGGAGTAGTTTTTCTTTGAATTCTTGGTAGTGGCACTCGCATTCGTCATGCACGCTGTGGAGCCTTGGATTTCGAATTCTGTTGCCTTACATCTCTTCTAGAATGTGCCACAACGAATATAACATACGACACGTAATATAATGTAATTTGATATAATGTAATGTAGTGTAATGTAATGTAGTGTAATGCATTGTAATGTAATGTAGTGTAATGTAATGTAATACAATGTTATATTATGTAAGATAAGGTAATTAAGATAATAGAGTATGATAGAATAGAAAAGAGAATTATATAACATGACATAAGATAATACAACCTAACATACTATTAGAATAACCTGTCAGCACGGTAGGCCTATGGCGTGCACCCCGAGTCTGGGCAGGCCTGGCCTAGAGGTTCGGGGTTTGCTGCAGGTTTCAAACCCTAAACCCTATCCAGCCTCTAAGCCCTGAGCCCTAAACCCTAAACCCTAAACCCCTCAAACCTAAACCCTAAACCCCAAACCTTATCCAGTTCTTCTTCAAGATATTTCGGGAGCTCGGTCAGGGCTTTTGGGGGTCGAGGCTTGCGAGACTGGAGGCGGTATCCGGGTTTCTTCAACCTTGAGGATAGTGTTTCAGGTTGAGGGTTTATAGGGTTTAGGGTTGAGGGGTTTAGGGTTTAGGGTTTATGGGTTTAGGGGTTTAGGGTTTAGGGTTGAGGGTTTATAGGGTTTAGGGTTTATCTTTGGAGGATTCCCACTTGGTGTTTGAGATTTCCGGCTTCGAGGGCACCCTGCCGCTCATCTTTTGGATCCCTTGGATGCGAAACCTCCCTAAACCCTAAACCCTAAACCCTAAACCCTAAACCCTAAACCCTAAACCCTAAATCCTAAACCCTAAACCCTAAACCCTAAACCCTGAAGAACCTAAGCCTGGAGGCTGATTGAGGGGGCTCCGTTTTCAGGGTCATGGATTTATGAGATGATCGCGACAGCGACGGTGACGAGCACGATGACGATGATGACGACGATGCTGATGACTGCCTGCACCCTAAGCCCTCGACCGAACACACAACCCAAATCAACCCCTAAACCCTAAACCCTGAACCCTAAACCCTAAACCCTAAACCCTAAACCCTAAACCCTAAACCGGAAACCCATGCTCAACCCTCAACCCAAGCGGCAAACCCCCCATAGGAGAAGCTGGAGAAGACGCCCCTTCCGGGCCCCCCCCTGCGCGTGGTGCCGAAGTTGGATCCGGACCGGCTGGCGCCTCTTGGCTCGATGGGGTTTAGGGTTTAGGGGTTAGGGTTGTCCCCCTCATTCCCGCA